CCCCTCTGCTGCTGCTGCTGCTTGCGGTGGGATGAGCTGTGGAGTACAGCAAAGGCTTCTTTGGTTTCTGAAGGGAGGAATCCACCTTAAAAACTGTTGACTGTGACAGGGGAGCTCATGTTTCTGTTATTCCTGCATCAGAGGCAGAGCTTCTCTGCACTTGGGTTTGTTTCTGTTTTGTCCTGCTTTTTGGCTTTTTGTGTATTTGACTCAATGAAAGGTTTGGGATGTATAGCTTTGAAAATTGATTAGATAGTTATTTCTGATAATTTTTTTCTCCTTATCCACTCTCTCCTAGAAACTGTCAGTCTTGTTCTGATGGGCAGGTCAAGACATGAGCTCAGTGGTGGTTTGGGGATCGCTTGTGCACTACTTAGATCTCCTGCCTGATTTTATGGAGATCTGTCTGTAAGTACAGCCCCCACAATGCCTTAAACAGCCTTTTGCTAACAGAGACTGTAATGCACTCGATTTACACTGGCACAAAACAACTACAAGGACAACCAAAGATATAATTAATATGAAGTAAGTATTCCCCAGCGGAACAGTCTTAGGGAGCTGATGAAGCTGAAGAAAACTACTTTTCTCCAGTTACTCTCAGAGGGAATTTCAAAGCAATGGAAAATATTCAGGAGAATATTCAAATATAAAAAGACATGTTAGAAAGATCCTACCTTTAACTGAAAGTGAACCATTCAAATCTTCTAAACCTAAGAGAACAAAACAAGATAGACTGAGAAATTAAAAATGTCAACCAGAGACAAAAGATAAAGGGATTGAATCATGAGTCTTCCACTGTTTGGGTGAGTGTAATCATCTCTCCCTTATCCACTTTGCTGTGTATACAAAGGACAGGCGACAGGGGAAATAAGAAGGACATTATGAAGAATAAGTAGTCACAGGACATTTGCAAATACGAAGTATTTTAATAGTAGGAACTGTGAGCAGAGTGGATTAAAGAGGTGCTTTGGTGAATAGCTGAGTTAAATGATCTGCAAGCCCAGAGCTGTGAAGATAGAGCCCGGTGTCGGCGGCAGTGAGACGGGCTGAGCTGGCAGGAGACATCTCTTAGGGGAGGGAGGGGAGCAGAAGAAACCCTTGGAACAAGCTGTGCCTTGTGTCCCTGAGACAGCTCGGGGTGAGCTGGAGCCTCTGCAGAGGGCAGTGAAGCTGTGAAGCGATGCTGGTGTGGGCTGCAGGAGTGGTGTGGATACACAGGCTTTGTGTCGGGGATGGATGGCTCAGTGAGCCACTGGGGCTGATTGGCTTCTCTTCCTGGGCTGGAGTGAGCTTTGTCAGAGTTAGTGAGGGGGTTTTTGTGCTGTCCTTGCTGTGAGGTGTGGATGGGTCTTCAGGGCTTGACCATGAACTTGTGATCAGGCTGAGTCCTCTGTGGTTCCCATGAAGTGCATGGAGTTAATGGAATACCTTATGGAAAGCACAACGCAGACACAAGAGTTAATGCTTGCAGTCCATACCTGGCTTTTGATTTGACTTTGTCATGACACTTTATTTATCACTGTGTGCATCTGCAAAATGAGGAGCGGTGGCAGCAGGTATCACCTTTCTGCATGATTGGACAGAAACGGGAAAGAGATTGTAGAGATATGGAAAAGGAGAGTCTAAGAAACAGGTTGACACAAGTGGGTGAGGCTTCCAGGGATGAGGAGGTGGCTTGTCTGATGGGCTAACCAATTGCTTCCTCTCTACTTAATTACTGTTGCCATCAATGTGAAGACTCAACAGCTGAAATACATATTTGATTTTGTGAGTGGGACTTAAGTAGACAGAAAATCAAATTGGAGCCGAGAACTAGCCTGAAGGCAGGCACATCCTAATGCAAAAAATTTTTTAAAGGGATTTGAGCATTCCCTGTGGCACAGCTTCCTTGTCCCGCTGCTGCTGATGCAGCATGGACTGGTTTCCCCCAATTTCCAGGAGACCAAAGAAATAAAATACTGTTCTGTCAAAACCAAAGTGCCTCTGGGCAGCAGATGAGGAGGGTTGGGAGCTCTCTATCTTTTATTGGTTTTATTTTTTTCCCCTTTTCCATCCTGAATTTGCTCTTAAAGAAATTGTCATTGAGGGGGGAGAAGGCAAACAAAAGTTGACTTTTGTTAAGCGGTGGAGACTTGGCAGTTGTGTGGAGGTCATGGTGCTCAGTCAGTGTCAGCCTCCATTCCCCAGAGTTGTATCCTGTAATGTATTTATTTATCATTACAGACGGCCAAAATTTTTTTTCCCCTTTCAGTTTGTTCTGTCCAAGGCCGCAGGGTTCCGACAGAGATCAACAGCATTCCCGCAGTGATGAAGCAGCTCGTCAAAAGCTGAATTAGATGTTAAATCTTTCTGAAGTGGGGAGGAGGAGGAAGGAGGGGAATCACATTGTGCTAAGAATTTATCATGTGTTGTTTCCTGTGAGATAATGTATAGGAGAAGATTTGTTATGGTGCAAGTTTCAAACTGCTGTTTCAGGGCTACAGTGTCTGCCAAGCTTATGATGTATTTGATCTTTTCTGAAAGTCCTTCTTTTCCTTTGCTACCTTTTAAACCGACTGTCTTCCAGGTAGGTAAACACTTGAAATGCTTCATATACTGAAACATGTACAGCTAAGCACCAAAATTTTTACGGATAAGAGGAATAAGCAGAAATAAGCTAGATTAAACTGTGAAGTCCAGTGAGGCTCCAGCTCTGGACAGAAGGTTGGGTGCTCAAGTCATCCTGAGCTTTGCAGTTGGTTACGTTAGACAAGCTGTGCAGGTGTGCCTTCTTGTGGAAACCTTTGAATTTTGGTACAGACCCTGAGGAATACAAGGCCTTGATTTGCAAAGGTGCTGCAAAATGTGCCCAGCATTATTTAAAGCCCAAAGATGCAACAGCCTGATGGTGAAAACATTTATTGATCCATTCTGCATCAGAGACCATCTCTTGCAGTGCAGGTCACTTTCTTGAGACTGTGCATTTGTAACCTGGTGGAAATACTCTCTGTGGTCTTTCTTTTCTCGTGCTCCTTTTATTCTCAGAAGGACATGGAGCTGAGGCTCATTTATGTTTTCTGATATAATAGTGTTTGCTCTTTGCAGTTGTTGAAAGGGCAATTCATATCCCTTATTAATGGACTCTAAAATGCACCCCTTTTAATCTAAATTGAGAGGGGGAATGTGTCCAAAAGATTTTTCTCTCTGAATAAGTACACTGGTGTAAGAACATTTGGGGTAAAATAGCTTTGCTCCAACTCCTCAATAAAATGTCAAGTGCAATGATAGATGAACGGGCAATTGCAAAGTTTACTCAATATTGTTTTGTTCCCAGTATCTAGGTCAAGATATTTCTGGTTTGTTTGAATCAGAGTTTCTACAGGTCTTAAATAACATTGTTAATATTATGAGTGGTTTAGATATCAGGCAGGAAGGAAGCTTATTGATCAGCAGGAAAAGCACTGTGTGCATATGAGCCGTCTCTTCCTGCCTGGCTTTAATGAATCTGAAATCCAACATCGGACTTGGAAAGTCCCTCGTGCTGAGGGGTGTGGGAAGGAAGCTTGTAACACACTTTCCTCCTGCCTCAGTTCCTTGCCTGGTCTTTACCAGAAGCACCTGAACTACCTTTAATGAAACTTCTCCATAAAGCAATCCTTGAAGTGTGATCTACTCTGTATTTTGCTTAGGAGTGAGTGAGGTGCAGGGAGAAGTAAAAATTCACCCACTATTGAATGAATTTGGGCCCCGACTTTGGGTGTGAACCCAATCTTTGTACTGTCAAAGTGTTGGTTTGGCCTCTGGACTGGGAGAATGTGCTTTTCAGATGCTAGTTCCCTCCTGAATATCCACATGGGGAGAACATGACTGGTTTCAGCTACTAGGCTCAGAAAACACAGGCGGATACCAGAAGTGTCAAGGGGGAACTGTGACATCACTTCAACCCCTAGCTTCATCCAGGGTTTGGGACCTCAATCAGCATCTCAGGTTGCTCAACTGGAGTACAAGGAATTTTGAGGTAAAATCCAGGGAAAAAAATATTCTGATTTTTCTAGGCTGTTCTAAAAGGAGCTTTAGTCCATCCTTCCTTTTGGAGGTTTGTGATGTTGCCAAAGAAGTTCAGGGTAACCTGTCTTTGCTCAAAGCAGAAAGATACATAAGATGTGACATCATCTTTCTTAAGAATGTCTCCCATCTATCACATTATATTATTTATAGAAAATAGGTCAACAGCAGGAATCCCTGAGTGAGCATCATCATCATGAGATGAAAGAAATTCATGGTGTTTCCTCTGCCCATTCACTCAATGAAACTTGAACCCTTCCTGGGAAAGCAGCAAGGCTTTGACAGGAAGAGAGGTGAAGAGCAGGATCTTTCTGGTGTATGGGAAGTGTTAATTTGAAGCCCTCTGGTTGAGAAGTGGAATTTCTGCAGGACTTCAGGATCTGCTGAGTAACTCAGTGAAGCAGCAGAGGCATCTCTGTGGTGTGGTTTGGCCTCAGAGGAGGCCCCAGCAGATGGCTCTGGGAGGAGCACACCCACCTGGGAGCACTTGGTACTCACCTGCAGCTCCTGCAAGGCACTGAGGGAGATGAGCACCTGTTTGTAGAGTCCAAGCAGAGCTGGGCTGAGCTTGGTGTGCAGCCCAGCTCAAGTGGGGACATGCCCAGATGCTGAACTGCTCAGGGAGCACTGCAGATGGAAACAAGGATGCATAAAGGGCTGGGGATTGGGAACATTGCCTGTTCCAATGAAGGCAGCCACAGGGCAGGTTGTGCAAAGTGGCTGGGTTGCTCTGACAGTTCACCCCTGCCAAAAGAGAGAAGTCTCTCTGTACCACCCAGCACTTGGAAGAGCTCTGCTGGACCAGTTCACCACACTGACTGCAGCAGTGGGAGCTATCAGAGCAAGTATCTCGTGGGACTTCATCATGCCAGGTGTTTGCAGAAGGCCACAATGAAGCAGAAAAATGAATCCTTCTCTGCCAAGCAGTTTTATTTACCATGTGTTCCTCTTTACAGTTTCTGAAGGATCTGGAAGAAATTACGAGTGACAGTTGTGAGAGGGACGTACTCCAGATTGGCAGGGTTGGTTTGTGCTTTGTTACCACATTGCCTCTCCTAGTGAAATGGATGTGCTGGTGGTATTCCCGGATCTCTTGAGCTCTCATGCTAACTCTGGTAAGTGTGTAGAAAGGTAATAATGAGCATCATACAGGAAATAGCAGTTCAGGGTTTTTGTTTTGTTTTTTTTTTTTTTTTTTTGTTTGTTTTGTTTTTTTGGTTATTGCAAATCTGTGTTTCAGACTGGAAAATGCCTCTGTAGCCCACTTGGATAGGAGTGTTGTGTTGCTTTTCTTGGTTCTTCATTTGTTCCATATTCCTTTCTGTTGTATCCAGCTGCCCAGCCTGTGCTTTTGGGCAGGATCTGGTCCTGCCCGTGACACTATAGGTCACATAGAAAAGCCTTCCAGTAGAAGAGTGTAACTGTCCCAAGAACATGTTTTCAGTGCACAGAAAAGAAATCCGATAGAAAAGTGACATGATAAAAGATAAGCTGTGTTAAACAAGATGTTTTCTGTGTATCACACCCAGACATGGTGTATTTCATAATATAGCAGAGCACGCTTCATCAGAAAGTGAGGGAAGAAGCAGACCTGCTAAAAGAATATCATTTTTGTGCCAGGGAAATTATGCATTTAATAGATCTCCGCTGCATTTTGTAGAGAGATTTGCAGCTACATTCAGCCTTGGCTAAAATGTGATGGTGACATGTTGTAGGAGCCAGTTCCTCCTCAGGGCTTCCTGTTACAACAATGGAGCTGTAAATGCTGTTATGGAAGTGGCAAGTGTCAGAAGGCAGCAGGATGTCATTGCAGTTGGGAGGTGCTTTTAACTGGCCTGTTCAAATGCTGAGCTGTCCAGGAGAAAATCCAGTCAGGTTCCTTTTCTGATGCTTGGAGGGGAGGAAGTTTGACTGTGCTCTACATGCCTTGTTGCACTGGATCCTGATCCTTATCCAAATCTACTCTGGCCAGAGCAGAGCTTCAGGAACGGGGTTCTTCTTCTGCATGCAGCCTCCCCTCACTCCTGGCAGCTGCTGATGGGATGCAGCTGTTGCTGAGAGGCAGGATGGATGGAAGGGACAGACTCATTGGTCTTCCTTGATCCTGTCTCCTGCTGGCAATTCTTGTCCAAGAGAAACCTCTGCTCAATGTATCAAACAAAAACTTTTCCAAAAGTTGCCAGCTTTGAGTGAAAAAACATAGGCGTGGTGTTTTGGTTTGAAAAATATCACCTACAGCATGTCAGAGTGACAACTATTTGCAACCTTTTGGGCACTTCCTTTCTGCAGCATTCAAAAGAGTAAAGAGCTCACCCTCTGTCACTTCTGTGTTTACTTTGGGAAGGATGTTTCTCTAGGAGAACTGGGACTGTCTCTGAAGAGACCAAGCTGCCACTAAAAGATTTGTGCATTCTGACTACAAGAGGAGAAAAGCCAATTTTATAAAGATAATGTCTCACTCCTCTGTCCCTGCCTTTCCACATGTACCTGTCCACAATCCAAAAGGAGACTGAAAGGAAAGAGGATGCTAGGTGGGACAGTGGATGGTGCTCTTGGCTGATACAGCAGCAGGGACCACCTGCCTTGTGGTAGAAATCCTAATGGATTCATTTAATTTAGGCTTCAAAGTCAATAGTTGGTTTTCTCTTCCACGTTCTACTCTTTGAGTGATAACTTTACTATTTTCTGACTGTGGAAGGAGGAGTTGGTTGAATGAAACTACTTGACAATGTATGAGTGAGAGAACTCCCTGTGGCGGGGTGCTGGGGCAGGGGCAGTGTGAGGAGGGGAGCACTGGGCAGGGGGGATGCTCTCTGTGCCCATGGGGTGCTGAGGGGGAGTTCCCACTCCCAGCACTCACCACTGGTGCTGCAGGACCTGCCCTTTGTCTGCAGGCTTGTGGGGGAGGCTAAAATAGTTCTTGGCATCAAGTCTTGGATCTTGGAACCTCTTTGCTTAATAGATTGCTCTGTCTCCCTAGTGATAGTGCTGCAGCTGCAAGCCACAGAGGCATTTTGGCTGAAGTCCTCTTGGTTTAAAGGAGAGAATCCTGGCTAGATCTGCTCAGCAGCAGCATGGCTGAGTGCTCTCTTTCCACCCTGGCCTGGGAGAGTCCCAGTTCTGCTAACCTGAGGGACACATCCCTTCATGTCCCAGGCTCTGGAGACGAGAGAAACAGTGTCAGCAGAAGTTTTTGGTTTATATAGAAAGATTTGAGGTCTCTGCCCAAGAGGCTTTTTTTTGTGCCTTTTTTCCCTTTTGAAAGTTACTAAGTTTATTTTTGTCTGTGTGAGTTGGCCTGTTTTTTTTTAATATATGGTAAAGGTGGCTAGAGTCCTGCATAGACACTTTTTTATATTTCATATAAACCCAAACAAATACATTAAATAAAGGTCCTTTCACCTTCAGCTTGATGGTTCAAATCCAATCGTGCTTGGGAACAGAAATGTTCAAGCAGTAAAAATAAAACATCTCCTGATTTATGAATAGAAGTGTCAAGCTTTGACTTGCTGTGATTACTGGCATCACATTATTTGTGAACATTCAGACAACTGCCAGAAATCCACGAAACACATTTGTGAATCCCAGAAGTTTCATAAACTTCAGCCTGAGTGGTTATTTGCTTTCTGGTGGATAAGTGGTTTGCCTAGAGTTGTGTAACGAGGCCAGATAACTAATGCTCAGGTCTCATAGCAATAATAATGAATGCAAAGCTCTTGTTCCTGTTGCACAGCAGAAGGTGGCAATTCTGCTCCAGTTTACACCAGAGAATTGCCATTTGCTCTGGGGAGATGTTGTTACTGGTTTGAGGAAGCCAAGAAAGAGGGGATGCAACCTGACTTTCAAACCTTACATTGTTTCCTAGGGCAGCTCTTGGGGGGAAAAAAAAACCCAGTTATTTGCTTCAAGGCTGAATTATTCTATTGGAGAAACCACAGCAGCTGTAATGCCAGGTAATGCGTGTAGAGAACAGGAGGAGGTGGGAAATGGGGCTGTGGTTTGGGGCTCTGTGCAAGGCAGAGCACATCAGCCACTCTTTATTTGTACCAGTGTTCAAATGCCTTAAAAATCATGGGAATTCAGCAAATCCATATGGATTTCACAGCAGGAGAAGAGATGCCACAATTAAAGCCTAAATTCAAGGCATAGCTGTGCTAAGATGACTCTCTCCACAGCAGCCCCTGCCATATACCTGTTTGTATATACCTATTTGTTGGGGATTCAAAAGCAATGAGTGAATCCCAGGCTGTGGGAATCTTGGCTCAAAGTAATGGCAAGATGTGGCCTAGAGTATTGCAGAGCTAAGACTAATTGTACATGATATTTTGAACATTTTGTAAGTGTTCTTTTCCTTTATATGAGTCTTTATGTTCTCTCACTGCTTTCTCTCCATCTGCAGAAAGTAAAATTTAGAAAAGTTTATTATAGCAGCTTTATCACAATATATGGTACCTGCTTGGGGAAGTGACAGGATAGGGACAACCTGGCATAGTTTGCTTCTGCAGCCACTCTGCATATGTGAGACTTGAAAACATTATTTGCAGTTTCTGTTGGTATTGTAAATAATAGATCAGGTCCACAATTTATTTGCTGAAAGTTCCAGCAGATGCGGTGCAATTAACAGACTGTAATCATTAGGTTTTGGAGAGAGGGTGACATATCAATTTTTAACTGTTTTTCCACTTAGAAACACATCCAAGTAGTGCTGCCTCCAGAGGGATATGCACATGGATGAATGCACTTTGTGCATGCCATTTTATATACATTCTCACTTTGCTTTCCAAGTATTAACATGTGTAAATCCCTTTGGCATGTGCAGATACGTGCAAGTGGGCTGTGCATCCATAGCATTTATTTGCATATGGAAGAAAGCATATGTGGAATGGTGTGCACTGAGTTACACTTGCACTGCAGCCCTTTGAGGGTTTGACCTTACAAAGTAGCTCTTCAAACCTGCAACTCAGCGAGATTTGGTTCTTTTTGCCTCCTTTTGATTTTGGCTCCTTTTGAAAATAAAGGCAGAGTGACTATGTGGAGGAGTCACTATATTATTTTAGGAAATAAACCTTTTGAGGTGTATTTCTCAGTTACCTTCCCTTTAATAGAGTAACATGAAAACCACAGAGGTGGGGAAACCAGTCTTGGTGGACAAATACAGGTGTAGCTCAGTGGGGCAGGTGCTGAGCTGGTATCCATGTGAGTTCAGGTAATTAATGCAGGGGAGATTGTTCTTTCTACCCACACAATCCTGTGGCTGCGGCATGACACCACAGGCTCTTTGCTGCTGTAGGTCTCATCTGCTCAAAAGACTTGTCCAACAAGTTGATTTGGCTCTCAGGGTCTTAAAACAGGAGGGAGACTGTGGAGCTGTGGTGCCCATTCCCCACAGTAATGCAGGACATGGCCCAGCGGGGTGAATCTCACAGAGGTCATCCAGAACAATAATTATAATTAGCTTCTGGAAATATTAATGCATGCATTTGAGTTTTGAGGGCAGTTGAAACAGAGAAAAAAAGGTTTTGAGAACTGCTTTTCCTTTACTTTTTAGAAGTAATGATTTTGTCCAGTAGCTCCTAACTTCTGCCAATAATTCTATTCTTTGTGCATGGATGTAAAGATGATGACAGTATCTGAGACAATGTCTCCTTGAAATGCCAGTTAAAACCTGAGAATTTTTACCACGGAAACTGATGAGAACATTTTGGCAAACTGTTGAGTTTTCTACCTCTAAACACCTACTATTGATTACTTAAATGATTTTTTTTTTTTTTTAATGATAACTAAATGGGAGTACCCCTGACTTCCCTGATGTAGGCAGTCTTGCCAGTGTGGACTTTTTTCTCTCCTCTTGTGGAGAAATTGAATGTTTCATTCTGTGTCGGATAGAGGTTCTAATTCAGGTTTCTCACTGTTATATCACTTTATTTAAGGACAGTGCAGGAGGCAGGAATCTGAAGTGGCTGCCTGATGCTTAAGAAGGTGAATAATGACTTGGAGAAGACCTTGTGCGTATCTTTTGATCTTTGGGCTTCAGACACCCCTTCACCCATAATTAACTCATGTGTTGACTGATCACCTGAGTGATCAAGGGAGACTTAGCATGTCAGTGGAAACCAGGGAACTATTACTTCATGGCAAAACAGCAATCAAGCCAGCTCCTCTATGATACAAATCAGATACCTGCAAGAACAAGTCACGTAATGGCAAGCTGTACTGGAGATGGATGATATCCTAAATCATTATCTTCGATAGCATCAATTATGTTTACAGGGTAAGCCCATGCTATCTTCATGGCAAGCCCTGCATCCAGATAGCAGCAGCAGCAACAACAAAAATTAAAATTACAGCATGAATTTCGGGAGGGGCAGTGCACTATGCATGACTGGCTAATAAATCAAGACCATCCGTGGATTAGATGGAGGGGAATGGGAATGGTTATCATTCTGTTGTATAAAATGCACAGCTTAGGCTCTATAGATCATTTAAAATATATATGAATTTGAAATCAGCCAAAAGATATGTCAGGCATTTTTCTTCTTAGAATTATGGCATGTTTTTAAAGCCTAAGTGCTTTTCAGTACAAATTTTAGCATGTTTTGCATTCAAATGAAACATCTACTCTACGTGTGAAGCCTTTGCACACACTGCCTGTAAAAGTGGAGGGAATCGCTGGATTTATAGGTTCTTTTTGCACATTCTGTCAAAGTCAGTTCTGCCTAATGGAGCCCATGGAGCAGAAAAGGCTTTCATTGCACAACTTTCCATGAGAGAGATAATGTTTGCTGCCTGGCACATTGCAACGCCTAAACAAAGACTCAAAATAAGTTTGTGTTAAAAGAAGGAACCTCAGCTGGGAAGGGATTAAGTTAATAACATTTTCTGTAATGTCTTTATCAGCATTTCTGTGGCCAGTTTGTAGCAATAAACAGGGGGAAAAAAAGCTCATGTTTGAGATGGAAGTAAATTTCAGGCTGATATGAGTGATGTACCTCATAACCAGTTATAATTAGAAGGGAGGCTTCTTACAGCGCCACTCCTCTATAAATCACAGCAGATATTACCCCAACTAGTACAACAACTATGAAATATGCTGTGAAATTTGAAACTCATGAAAAATAGGTTCTTTTGTTGCAATTTCATTCTCAGAAGAGCTCTGATTTGATACAAGCTTATGCCTCTTTCTGACTGGTCTCTTAAAACTGAGGTAACCAGCCTCAATTCCCTATAAAACTGTTAAAATTTAAATTTAGTAAAGTATTTTTTTTTCTTATAATCACAATTTGTGCAAGATGAAAGCATTGCATGCTTCACTACACAGAGTCCTTACTTGGAAGAGTCTATCAAAAAACTCAAGCAAGAGTTTTCTATAGCAGAAGCTTCTTATTAAACAGAATTTGACACTGAAGAAGTCAGAAACTGAGCTTGATAGCTAATAGATGTGTATTTTCCTCTTCTCTTCTGACAGAGTCAGCTTTGACCTGGCCGGGTGCCCACCTGCATTATTCCAGATGTGACCATAGAAAGTCCACAGGCAAAGTAACCCTAGGGAAGAAGGCCTTGCTGGCTTGATGCCTAAAAACAAAAATCAAGTAAGATTCCTCGAGTTTTTCTCTTGCACTAAGGTCTAAGTCTTTTTCCTATGATATTTTATTTTTAAGAGAAAATGGATGAGTTTATTTTAGAAATGTGTTCTCTGAAAACTTATGAACCACTCAGGACTGCTGGCATGGTAGGGCTGTAGCTGCTTCTATTGATCCTAATTTAAAGCTGTAATTGCAAATAAAAACATCATTATATCCCACATCTACTTTAATTGAAAGGATTGATTCACAGGGGCAATGCACGATAAGAACTTCTATATGGCCCAAGTGCTTATGGCCATTTTAACACCCTCATTTTGGCATGGCCTGGGTTTGTTCTTGTGTGGAAGAATGTCACAGACATTGGGGAGAAACCTTCACTCTTCTACTGTCTGAGCTCATTTCTCCACTTGAAATAAAGCAGGGCACCTACACAGGACTCTGTGGGCAGCAGGAGGGTCCCTGGCTTGGGCTCCCAGATGTCAGAGTTGCTTGGAGAAGCCACCTGTACATGCAGGTGTCCCTGGTTGTGTGAAAAAAGGTTTACACTGTGGCTGGCTGTGACAAGAGTGAGATGTTATTGCTCAAGGGAACATATTCTGTCAGGCTGGGCTCAAACATGTGGGACATGCTCAGCTGCTTCAAAATAAATTAGCGTTTTTAAGGAATTAAACGCAACTCTTGCTTATTAGGTGAAATTATCCGTTGTTTTGTCTTTCAGAGGTAAACAAAGAGCTGGGGGAGTCTCAGTCTCTCAGTCTTATGACCTTATGGTCACTGTCCAAAATACCAGCAGTGACGTTCCACACTGGAGAACTAAAAAGAAGAAAAGCAGATACTCAGCAGGGTTAGCCCAGTGTCTTTCCAAGTAATCCTTTATTTTTACAAAACATTTCCATATGGGAAACTCTATCACTGAGCAGATGCACTGAAAACAGTGTGGTCAGTGCTTTGTGTAGATGCTGATATGGGCTGCTGAATACCCAGAACAGTTGAGAGGCTTCAGCAGAGCTGCCCTGCACATCTAAATGTAAAACTGATGCCTGGGGCTGAAAATTGATCTGTAACATTAAACTCCAACCACAGAATGGGCATCACCATTTGGAAGGGAAGCAGATAACTGGTATTAGCTCATCTGGTAAAGATGAGTAGCTGGACAGAGTCTGAAGAATTCTTGCAGATTTGAAACCCTTACCCTGAACTTTGTGGAAAATTGGTTCAAAACACAAATTTGCAGCAGATACTTATTTATGTAATGTGCCTGAGATGTAACCCTGAATCTAAATCCTTTTTTGCAGGGCAGAGTTGAGATCTGGCTCTCCACTGACCCTGCAGGACAGCCTGTCTGCAGTTCACTAATCCTAGAAAGCAGACAGATATGCTCTGAAGAAAAAGTCTTCATTTTTTCCTTCCCCTTTCCCTTGCTTTTTTTTTTTTTTTTCTCTGTCTCTTTTTCTCTCTCCCTCTTTCTCTTCTTTTCTTGTATTTTTTTTTTTTTTAAAGGGAAAATTTGTTGCAATAATACAAACCCATCATGCTCTCTCTGGTTACAGCTGAGTGACACTACATCAGCAGCAGAATATGTACAAATTAAACTGTAACAACGCACCAAGGAGAGGCACAGCAATATCATAAAAATTATCCACAGTACAATATGACTAATGTTGTGTGAAATGCATTCATTGGCCAAATGATGTCTAGGTGTATCTTAAGGAGTTATGCTGATGGAGATAATGGTTATAGAACAGAGATAAAGGGAGGAAAGGCAAGTGAAAGACAAGAGGTTGCAGCAAGGGCAGCCTGACTGGGGAGGAGGCTCAAGCAGGTGAGTTTGAACAGGAAAGCTGAGCTGCTCTGGAATGTAGAAGGATGTGAGAAGAGCTCAGTGGCACCTTTCCTCCTCACATGTCTGATGTGGAGGTGTGCTGCTGCTTTAGGCACACACACACACATTCTTGTGCTCCTTCTCACTCCTTTTATGTGGACTTTTTGCAAAAATTTATCTGGAAACATAAGCTGCATATCTGCTAAATATTCTCTAGCTGTGTTGCTTATAGAAATGCCTTTGTTTTCCCTTTTTAGATTAAAAGAAAAAAAAAAATCCAAAGAGAAGGGACTGATTTTATTAGCATGTCCAAAACCAAGAAATGAACTCAAACACAGCCAGAGGATGGCTAGAGTAAACAAATCAATAAGGTGCACTCAGAAGTTGTCATCTCATTTCTTAATCTGAGAGTCTTTGTGAAAGGAGTAAATGTTTTGCCTGAATAAGAAACTTGGCTATTGGTAAGTCAATGTGATCTTCCTTTTTGTTAAACATAGATTTAGAAAAACAATCTGTCCAGTGACCCATTGAGCCATCATGCTTATCCAGAGATGTTTATCTAGACACAAACATTCTGTTTTCAAAGGAACTTGGGGATTACCTAAGTAAATCTTATTCTGTATCTAAATTGCATTTTCCAAAACATCTCAGGTGAGCTCCTACCTCACTGAGTGTCTCTTGAAGACCTAAGTGCTTTTTAAAATCACCAAATTGGTCAGCAGAGTGGACTTGCCTGAAAGTGCAGTTGATTGCTGGAGTTCAAGGCCTAGTCTCAGGGCCATAGCATCTCAAATTACTACAAAAACAAAGTATTTTCATGGTATTCCTGATTATTTGCTACCTGGTTAGTTACAAAGAGAGAGCCTAGGCCAAAATCATGCAACAGTTGCTGTTTCTGATGTGTGGGAGCCATGTCAGCCAGGTTTTTTTTCTCATTTATTGATATGTACAAGGATGGGAGATAGACACAGCCAAAAATGCTGGGATCCAAATATTTTCCAAGTTCTAAGATATCCAGAATGGGGAGTTAATTTTGTCTCCTAGTGAAGATAGGGGGTCCCCATGGAACATTTCAATGGGAGGCAAAGCTCTCCACAGACCTGGGGTGTGCTGGACGAGCATTTCTGTTCTGCTTCAAAGGCAGAGGAGGAGGGAGCGATGCGATAAAATCAGTTTCCAGCCCTAAAGCTGACTTGGATCTGGGGGTTCTTTGTGAACCTTACAAAGCTTTTTCTCCAGCCAGCCACCTTCACTCGCCCCTGAGCACGTGCCAGGAATTCCCTAGCAAAGGAAGCTGCCAAACCCAGGGAGTTGTGATAATTCTCTGCTATCACATCCATAAAGCCTCAGCCGAGGCTGCTCTTCCCCCAAGCGAGCAGGGGCACGGCGTGTCCAAGAAGGAACATCTTCAGCCTACAGCTCTGTTATTTTATTCCCTCTCTGTGCTGCAGCTTTGTGTTTTTACGGGGCTGTGATGGCTCTATGCAGGAGAATTTCTGCATTCCCTCTTCGTTTGGGAAGCAAATTTCAGCCGTGCACTCCGGGGGCAGGAAGGCACGCTGCTCCTCCGCTCTGACTGGAGGCTGTGCAGTAACACAGCAAGCTCAACCTTGAGAAGGGGGAGAGGCACTCTGGGACCCAGGCTGGTTTATATCTCAGCTGATTCTCCTCTTTCTCTCTTCCATATCCCCTTAATAGCTTGACAGGAGAAATATAGGGAAGATACAGCCATCTGATTAACAGTGCCGGGGGCTGGGGATGGATGACAAGGAGAGGGAGCACAGCGTGGCTACCAGCCAAGTTCCAGCAAGAAACAGAATATCTGGCTTCCTCTAATCTCTGGAGGAAAATTAAGTTACAAAAACCTTTAGTGGAAACTTTGCATACGTTCAGTACCATTGCTATGCCTGACAGAAAAAAAAAACCTCCCTGATATATTATTTAGTTTCTAGTTATAGAATTAAAGGCACAAGCTTTCCCACCAGGAATAAAGAAAAAAACAAATCCTCTCGAAAACTAAAGACAAAACCTCATAAAACCCCTTGAATGTTTTGTGCTGTCAGAGTTCTTGAGAAATTCCCCTTTCTGTGTTAATGGAGGGTTGTGTGGATAGAGTGAAGATGTCTGAACATCTTCCCAATTAATTTTTGCACTTACATGTAGATCCCTTCTTGTTTTTCGAGCCATTTGCTCTGCCTCCTGCAGGAGCAGTGAAGAAGAGGAGAAGGTGGAGGTGGGGAAAAGCTCCAAATTGCCCTGGGAGAAGGTTAGGTTGCTCCTGCCCCCACTGAGCCCAAGAGCCAAGACCATTGCCTTGCTGTTCATCAGAAATGTGTATTACACACAGAGAGGAATTCCTCCCCCTCCTCCATGTCTGTCATTAATGTGTTGATGAAAAATAGTGGAGTTTGATTTAAAAAAAATAGGTTAGGTGTTAAGTGAGCAACAAGTTGAGACCTGTGCATATGAGAGAGAGTGCTGATTAAAATGAAATAGCCTATTTATTGACTGTTACATCTAAAGCAGTTGGAGCAACCATGATGAAAGTATTACTTACATGTTGCTCAGCTTTATGAGAGGGGAAAAAAGAAGCTAGACTGGCTGGTTAGAACTTTTCTTCATTAAGGCTTACAGTATGTTGATATGTGTACACAGTGCAATTTTTTCATGTCAGAAACATGAGCCAAGGGTCTGAACAGCCATTGCCTGGCTCAGCACCATGCCTTCCCCTGGCTGGCTGTGCTCTCCTCTTGCTGCCTATCCAGGCTAGTGGGAATCTATCTCTGCTTCCTCCACGAGGAGAAAGCAGAGATGCATTTGCAGTATTTCCCTCCACCTTGCTGCAAGCAGCTTGCTCCCAACCTTCCTCACGTTATTCCTTCACCAGCTTGTCTGAAGGGAACATTTTCCATGCAGAGGAATGTTAGAGCTGTGTTTACATGCCATTTCCCTTCTGAGAGCTTTATTTCTCTTCAGCCTCAGGGACCTCACCACCAGCCAAATCTCAATATGGGGCTGAAATTGTACACTGGCCCCGGGCAGCCCTGCCGTGGGACAGAGGGGTGTGTTTGTGTAAGTGTGCACGTGTGTTGTGTGCACACAAAAACAGATGTGTGCCGTCCAGAATAAATGAGGCTATTCAAAGTGCCACAAAATGGACAATTTATGGCCAGTTTCAGCAATTAGTCAGACCAAAGGAGTGAGGTGGGTCAGTATGTAAACCCTCACTGTGCTGTTTTCTTTAAAAATGCAATAGGGAGTTCCAGCTGATGAGCAAAGATACTGAGAAAGGGTAATTAAAAAGAAACAATCTTTGATGTTCCTCTTATTACAGTTTCTCCTCATTTTGTTGTGCTTCCCTTACCTGGTCGTGAGAAACAGAGCTGCTGATTTCTTTTGGGGAGGGCAGCGTGGGTGTGGGTGCACAGGCAGTTCTGCAGCAAGAATTCACTCTTTGCTTCCTGCCAAGCTCTTGCACCTTGCAGTGAATTCAGGTACTTCCTGCAGAAGTGCTGGCACTTAGCAGAAATTCTAGGTATCAGCCTACAGGGCCATCCACTTGTGTGACTATTTTTATTGAGCTAATGGGGGAAGAAGTTCCCCTGCAAAATATTGACAGCTTCTAAAATACTCCACCAGGACAAGAGTAGTTTAAACTGTGTAAATTAAACCTTGAGCATGACCTGCCCACATAGTTCACCACCTCTGTTAGCATAAATATTCTGTTCCATTTGAAACAAGTATTTTTTTCTTCTACTCAGGTTTCAGTTCTTCTGCTTCCAGCACTTTATTTTGTGCCACACTCATAAGATTGCAGGTTTCACATACGCTGTTACAAACTCCTGAGCAACACAAATTTTTGTGCTGTATGGAAGGTATTTAAGTTCAGGTGGTACAGTAAGAAGGTAAACTTTGCATGACTTTTTGTTTCTCCTAGCCCATGGGCAGACTTTTCTGACTTGTGCATCATGAGTGTGCTCAGTTGTAATATAGTGAAGCTGGCTGCTGCTCATGGATGTTCTTTCATTTGTGGGGATGAGAATGAAAGATGAAAAGTGCAGTGGAATGGTTGGGAGTTATTTAATCAAAGTCTTTCAATGAAAGAAAAGATATTTTAATATGCAGTTTGATTCACTGCAAATTTTTGGCAGTAGATGGGGCCCTTACTGTAATAAAATTCCATCAAATTGGGAAGTCTCTTGGAGGTGGTGCAGTATGTTGGAGCTGACTCCTGGAACATCATCCCTGACCTAACTCAGGCTCTTTGTTGTCTCCATGAAAATTCTCATGAGAAAAAGCCAAAAATCTGGGAAAGGGTTCTTATACAATGTTCTTATACCTCTGCACCCCAACCTTTCACTGCCTTCTGTCCTAGTTCTTTCTTTTACTGTCTTTCTTTCCAAAAATCTGCAAACCCACGGGCTCCCTGATTCTGTCCCTGCTGACCACACTCAGGACACTGCCCGAGCTCAAGGATGAGCAGGAAGGGAAACACACCCCTGGAACAGGATGGGGCAGAGCCAGAACCTCACCTTCTGCCATAACACTGTGAATTCAACATTTCACTCGAGCAAACCCACATTTCCTGGCAGTGCTGGGGCTGGCCTGGAATCCAGACCTGGTGTGCTCAAGGTAGAACCATTATCCTAAAGTGCTTTTATTGATCTGTTGACTTTCTGTCTCCCTCCTTCTCAACCTCTCTTCACCCTGCCAGCCTCTTAGAGACTCATATCTTGTCTCATACAACCATGGTATTTTAAGGGGTGAACAATGATTTTGAAGTCACATTAGACAAACTATATCTGACCAGTAAAACCAGATGTCCCCTGACTGATATCTGAAGAAGGATATGCCTACATTTACAAATCAGCCCCTCTTTCCCCCTTATTTTTTCTTCTTCTATGTCCTGGTGTTCTTCAAACAATCAATTTCAAGGCCTCATACATCTCCTTTGTAGCAGTCTATCCCCCAAAGTGGCAATGCCATATTGTCATGCTTTATTTTCAGTTGGTTAAAGAGACCTATAGCAATAAATCTAAATCTGTGCTGTGATATCCAGCAGTATTAAAGGCTGAGATTTAAAGACAGGCCTGAAAGACATAGTAGTTGATGCCTGTAGGAAGCCAAGAAGAGCTGTGTGCCTTACTGGAAATTTCAGGCACAACGTGTTAGAGTACAATATTTTACAGTGACCTGAGCTGCAAATCCTTCTGAGATGGAGATAAAGGGAGAAAGAATCATACTGGAGATAATGTTAACAACTCTGTGTGTTACCAAATGCTAAGAAAGGGCTTGAAGTTGGTTGATCTATTTCTTATTTCAGTGTTCATAATTTCTTGGGTTCATGGATAAAGTATGGGCATTTAGTCAAGGGTCTGAAAAATACACAGGTAAGTACAGAACAGTTTAAAAAGGCTAAATTTGATGATAGAAGTGCATTAACTTTCTAAAAATGTAAAGTGCAATGTCTTTCATATAGCTGAGTACATCACTGTTCATGAATGCAGTATTTGAAAAATAAAGAAGTTATTGATCATTTATTGTCAGGTAGGCATAAATATACACACGTGCTTTAAAATGCACTCTAATTTTTTAATGTTGAAACAACATAAAAGCTTATCTGAGTAAAAAACAAATTCACATTGAACACTTTTGATAGGCTGGATAGTACTACAGTGAAAATAGTGTGAATGTTTTCACTGGGAAATATTAATGGGATGAAGGACAAAAACATCCCTTTTGCATTTTATTCCTATCTGCATTAGTTTTCTTTTTATGGAAATTCACAGAAAAGAAGATAAATTAATTTGCTCTAGTCAGTATTTGCCTATGAATTATTGAAACTCTCCTTCCAAGTGTAGCTACAGCTCTTGTAAGCCAGGAACAGAACAACCCTGCATGTCTCAGGTGAGCAGTTGTGCAGGACCTGTCACGGATCATGCCTGGTGCTGTGGTCAATAATCAGTGTGGAGGGTTTGAAAGCAGCCTGCTGGCTGAAATATGTTCATGTAAAGAATTTATCTAAGAAATCTGAATCTAGTGAAATGTGGAGGGGAAGAAATTAAAACCTGTTTCCATATTACTGAGGAAATGAAAAAAAAAGTTGGTGATAACCTTCTCAGACCATGGGATGGCCACTTATGGACACAGGGGAGTGAACCTTGATTAATTTTAGGATTTGTGTGATGAGAAGCAGTTCACAGTTCAGTGCATTACAGATAACTCAGCTAATTGTAACACTGTGATAGTAACAGCAAACTTTCCTTCTGAAATCACAGACAAGGAGAAGGGAATGGGAGTCCTGGGGAGAAAGAAAGCCTTGGCAAGCACCCCTAAGTCATTTACCTTTTTGGAGAACCTACATCAGTACCACAGCTACAGCCTGATGTTCGCTCTGGAGAGTGAACAGCAAATGCTTTGTGTCCTGCACTGAGCTGGAGGTGAGAGCCAGAGCTGTCTTTTCTTCTAGACAATACCTTGCATTGATGCTACTGATGGCAGAAAACATAACCCAGTGTATTCTGAGCTAGGAAATGCTACAAATCTGCATTTCCCTATAAAAACTTACAGATTTTGAAGCAGTATGTTTGAGATGAGATATGTTTGCCCATTTCTGTAGAAATCTTAATCAAAAAAGCATTGGCTCAGCCTGTGAGATGCTCCTAACTACCTCTATATGTAGACTGTGAGATTTGTTTCTGTGTTTCAAAACCTAATTGCTCAGTAAAACTACCTGAGAAAACTGGTTTCAGGGCCAGAAAACGCTCATAACCATGCTTTTCTGGTAAGAGATCACACAAAGATAAAGCTGATGTTCATTCTAAAAGGTAAATTTGTCTTTTTACAGAGCAAGGTGAATTTGTGGACTTTCCTCCTGGGTGATGCTATCAGGACAAGCTGTGAAGTTGGATGTCTGAAACAGATCAAGTCAATTTTCTAAACACCAGTACACAAGTAAGTGCTGTAAGTAATTTGCAAGCTAGAGAAAGTGAGCCAAAAATCCCTTCTTGAGACATACATGAGTGAGCAGAATTACATGAAACTCTGCCTCTTCTGACAGCAACACTGAATATGGACAAGTGCATTTTGTGATGTGGCACTGCTGAGCATGAGCCTGTTGAGAGGCAGGAGCTCAGGCAGGTGAGTTGATCTGTTGGGGAAATCCTTTACCGACAGCACTGCTGTCCTCGTGGTCTGCAGGCTTTGCAGGAACTGGCCTATATATTAGAAGGTAGCATTTGGTGTGTTGAATTAGACAGGATTGAAGGCAGTCCCAGGGTTAAGAACTGGGAACTGCCTGGCTGTTTCCAGTGAGTATCTGCCAGCCAGGGGAGGCAGGCAGCTGCACACCTCATCTGCAGGACAGCAGATAAAGCAAGAGGAAAAAGGAAGGGAAATATTCTCTGGTAATTCAGGGGGACGAGAGAGGCAGAAGGAACCCCATGCACCTTTCAGCAGAACAGTTGTGAGCTGCTAGGTGTGAATCCCACAGCAGCCGTTGTCATTAAGCATCCTGTAAGGTGAGGAGGAGGGTGAGCACTGCAATAAGCTCGTCAGCAGCATCTGCAGCAACTCTCGGCCCCCTCTGGATACCCTTTGGAAATCTTCAGCGTGTTTTGTGTTTGTTGAGGAGCCAGAAACAAATGCTAGCAAATGCAAAGGTGTGAAATGTTGGCCAACCAATCCCAGCGTGCCCTACGAGGCACTGGAGGGAGGATTGCTCTAAGTGGATGATGAGCTCAGTTCAGAGGCTGTTAAGTTAAAGCTTATTACCCTCATTAAGAGATGTGTGTAATGTGGTTTTGGCCTTCTAATATGGTAAAACCAACATTTTCCAAATGTTTTGTTGTCCTGTCTGTTATGCTTGGAGGGGAATTCAGTTTCTGTTTTGTGCTGGGTCAAATTCAGCGGAGAGATAAGATTTCTTCATGGAGTTTAGAATTTGGGATTGCCTCTGTGAAAGCAGAGGCTGTCTGGGGCAATGTGCTGTGTCCTTGTCAGAACCAGGAGGGAGCAGAGGTGCAGAAAGGTTTGTGCCTTTGCTGAGAGCACTGGGGAGAAAGGCCAAGCCATGCAGGTGTCCCTGGCTGTGCTCCCTGCAGCTCTGCATGGCAGGAGGTCAGGCTGTACTGCTCCCAGCAGGGTGTAAATGAAAAAGGATGGCTCAGGTTTAGCTTTCCCTGCCATTTAATAAGCCCTGCAGGATGAGGAGCACCCAGGTGAGGTGGAGCAGGATCAGGGAGCAGTTCAGATTCACCAGGTACCATTAGCTTGAGCTCAGGACTGACCCTGCAGGACTGGGCTGGTTTGCACAAAAAGATGTGAGTGTCTCTGCCATGTGCTACTCATCATTTCCATTATCTGTGTGTTTCCTTTATCTGGGGTACCACAGCTCCTCCCTATGATGGAGCATTGGCTCCATCATAACAGCTTTAATCTCTAGCTGTCTTGGGACGGTCAGGTCAGGAGAGATTTGAGGTCCACAGCCCTGAAGTGAAGCCCTCCCTACTTCAGACAGGCCTGCAATTGAAACCAGCTGATCCCAAGTCCTTTGCAAACATTTCCATTTCAAACCACTGAAGTTTTATGTCTTTCTAATAAATTTTTTTCTTGAGCCTCATAAATCTCATAAAGATCTTGAACAGCTAGTAAATTTGGCCATTCAGATACACATTTTCCAGTAAAGAGGATAATGGTTGCTGTTCCTGATGCCACCTCCCCTCCCCACCCCTTCAGCTGTAGGAATTCACCTCTTGCCTCTGGGCTGCTTGGGCCATGCTAAGAAAGGCAACACGTGCAGGGAGGATCAGGGCATTGCTGGGCCTCTGCTACCTTGGCCACTGCCCCTGCCTGTGACCTGAGCAAAGTAATTTTCTCTCCTCACATCTCAGATCAGAAGAAACAGGTTGATGTGCCCCTGCTCAGAGGGCTGGGACTCTTGCTCTGTTCAGGCCGGACAGAAAGTGTCCTCTTAGGCTTGGATTTCCAGGTGGACTTGAAAGGACATGAATCCAAGGACAACATAAACCCAACACTCCTCAGACTCCATTTGGAAACACCAGGCAAAAGTGCTGAAGTTATTTAGGAAAACATGCTAGAGAAATAGAAAATTGCAAGCATATTTTCCCCTTCATTTGTTGTCTCCCAAATTCAAACAAGCTTATTTCCTTTCCTGCAATGCTGTTTTTGATAATCTTGTGCCAAAGGCACTGAATCTGTTCCTATTGCTGTCAATAGCAAGATGCCTGTTGCTTTTAATGGTTCAACTATTAAAACACCACATCCCAGTTGTCTGGCTGTGAGCAATCCCGAGCTATCGCAGTGACAATATGGAACCTTTTTCCTCTCTGAATGTTTCTCTGCAAAGTTTGACCATTTTGGCTGGGGTAAAACATGTGTCTATCTGGGATTCTTTCCAAGGATGAGATTTTGACAGCTGTGCTCATGTTGGCAAAAATCCTGACATCTTGTGCTTCGTTGAAATAGCAGATTCTTAGTGGAGAGGGGTGGGAATCCAATTTCATAGATGAACACTTATGAATTGAGGACTGTGAGCCTGGCTGAGCTCTTTTCACTTGGGGGAAAAGGTTGAACCCATCCTTTGGGAACAGGGTGGAGCCTGCCTTTCTTCCCGTCCCCACCTGTGGGCACAGATGGCCGATGGGCAGTGGGGTGGATGGAGCTCTGTGTGCTGCTGCCAGCTTTGTGCAGCAGTTTGGGACATGCCTTGGACTGCACCCACGGAAGTGGGAGTCAGCCTGCTCGCAGTCCATGCCTAATGATTTTCATTTACATATTGGATGTTTTGGGCACGACTGGTTTTGGGCAGTGTTGGTGCGCTTTCAGTGAAAATCCACCTTTGTAACCCTGGTCAAAACTTGGCCTGATATTTTTGCCAGAGGGCTGGTGAAAAACAAAGCCTTGCTACACTCTGAAATAGCCTGTTTGGGGGCTTTTATTTTCACTATTTTGATAAAATTGATGGAGTGTTTTCTGTTTGTTTTTTTTTTCCACTGGAATCTCCATCTTGAACTGGAGAAATATTTCCCACAAATGCTGTAATTATTCAAAGCTGATATATTTTTGCAGTAACCTTCAATCTGATGAACTGTCACTTTTCTGATAAAGAATCACTTATTTGGAGACTAGAATTCCTATTATCTCGACAAATAGGGAATGGTGGCACAGAAAATTGTGTCATGAGGTCACCCAAGAACTCCACATCAGAGGCAAGGATAAACGGGAATGGGTCTGAAAAATATTTTTCAGAAGATAGTTTGCAAATATTATATTTATTTCAAACTTACCAGTGGCCAGAGAGTTCCTTTATATTTTACCAAGAAAAATAAATTAAAGAAAAAAGTCACGAGGTTTTAAAACCATGTCAACAATTATTTTCCATGTCTGGTATTTCACTGGAAATCAAAGAAAAATACTTTTTAAAATACAAACAAGATAGCAGTCAAACAACAAACCCCAAACAATACATGCCTCCCGTTGAAAACTATTCAAACAGTTTTGCTCAGGAAAGGTTTTAGCTTAGGGTTAGACACACAGAGTCAGACATTCCTGCTTGCATCCATGGCAAATGTGACGTCTTTTATGTAACAGTTAAAGGAAAATAAGCCAATCTGTCTCACAACCATGCTTGCTGTGCATTAAGTGATGTATACGGATATTTATTATCCATCAGAAAGCACTTGGGCACCCTTTTCATGTGTTTGATCCCTCAGGCCATTTCTAAAGATTTGGGAGGCTGCTGAAGGACAGATGAATCAGATTTGGAATGGTAAAATTTGGGACAGTCCCAGAATAAGAAAACGTGGATGTTTGGGTGGCTGCACATGGCTGTGATGGCAGGAGAGGTGAAGGTGAGCTCTGGGTTATTTATCTTTGCACAGCCTGGCCTTGTCAGCTGAGTGGCCAAAAATGTGATCAGGAGCTACAAAATTAAATGGGAAAAGCTGTTCCTCCTATACTTTGTTTATGGGAGAAGGGGTTAGGAGGCCAACAAAGGACACTGTTCTTACATGGGAGGATTGGTCAGCAGGGACTGACCGATGGCCTTAGAGGCCCTTTCAAAGCCATGCCTTAATTACAAGCTCTTCCCTTCCTCTCCCACTTGTTTTTTGAAAACTAGGGCAAATATTAGCACAACTGTGAGTGTTGGGCTGCTGTGCTGGAGTGCTTCTAACCCATGTTAGCTTGATTAAAACTAACATCACTGTTTCTATGCTGAGAAATTCCAGTGGCAAGTCTACCATAAATTAAACAGAAATTTCAACTTTAAGTTGTTTTCTAGTTCTGCAGCAGATCTGTTTACTCAGGAATAGCATAAGGCAGATGTCTTCATCTTTGCTGATTCTTAACAGGTTACAGGCATTGACTTTAAATAGCTAAAAGCCTTTAAAATAATTTTAAAACAGGCTTCTCCCTCCCCTACAGACCTTAACCTTTAGTTGCCCTTAGCGAGAAATGCCCAGGATAACATGATCCTAAAACAGACTATATAAACCAAGAAGCAGGTTTAAATATATAATGTGATCATTACCTGAAACCAGCAAAGAGGTTGGAATAATCATTACTCATGTTTACACTTCAGATTTCAGTGGGTTGTGTTCAATCCTTTAATGATGCTGATTCAAAACAGGAAACACATAGTAATTAAAGGGAGCACTTAACCGTGATTCTGAAAGCACAGAGGCAGCTTTGAAGTGGAACTGGACACAGTGTCTGTTGCCAAAACATTGCAGGAATTGGAGCACCAGGTAGCTGGTAATTGCAGGTACCACACCACGTCTGTTTTGGCACCTGCAGCATCCTCCTCCAGCACCAACCTCAGAATCGCTTCTGGTACGTCAGCGAGATCCTGCAGCCCCAGAAAGAGCTGATTGATGGGGCCTGAGGGAGCAGCAAATACTCTGCTTTTTAATTTACATAAAGCCAAAGCTGAA